TCTGTCAGGCATCAAGGCAGCACTATACACTGACCCGAGCGTCTCGCACGCTGGCCCCGGGCTATCGGGCAGTCCTTATTGTCGAGCCCTGAAGGTTTAAGCTCTGTCGATGGGTCTCCTGCGTCTGCACAGTTCAATGAGCACTTCAACAAGCGTGTTTTTTCCCGCTTGGCAAGCCAAGCTGACGTGACAAGGGGGCGTGGCAGCATCGACGATTCTATTTTTTGATTCGATAATCGAAATTGAGCATAAATTTCGATCGATTTCGATTAAAAATCGAAATCGTGACACCCTTACCGTTCACATATTATGTCTCATCACGCCTTCATTGAAAATAACAAACTTGCGTACGGAAAAGATGCGATATGTGAATGGCCGCTGTCATTTGCAATTTCCAGCGGTGCAACGTGCTCACGCCCTCCAGGTGCATCCATTCTTAAAACATCTTCAGAATGCTGTGAGAGTACCTTACGTCACGTGTCAAGAACTGACCCATCAGCTTCATATTTTGTATATAATATACACGTTTTGGTACACTAATTATCTCAGACAAACACAGCAGTGATTTTTATTTTCTCCATGAATAAAACTTGTATGAGAGTTGCAGCAATGTTTTGTCAGCTTGTCATCATCTGAGAAAACAGTTGATGGTCAATCAGTTGATAGCAATCTACCTGAGGGTTTGGCAATGTTGACCAATTTGTCATCATACAATGTCTAATGTAAAACATTACAATGACGATGGCATAATAATCGTAGGCGAAGGTGAATTCATTATTTATGAATATTTAATAAATTCATAACACATTCCTTATTTGTAGCCTACCTTTTCAACTATCTGACCCGTATGGTCTTTGTTTTACACATAACTAAATCATAAATAAAGTGAAATGAAGTGCACTGTTCTATGGGGTTTTGGCTCTATGAGCCGTTAGTACAATACTAGGTAGAAATGCTGTAAAAATCCATCTTTGCCTCTCTCTCTCACTTTGGACATTTGACCCGTTGTCGTGTTGATAAGACAATTTTTTCTCTGCTCTTGGCTGTTAAAGCAATAAGCGTGCCTGAGGTGCAAGTTTTCTCTATTGTGTCTGTTATGGATCACTTGTGATAACCGCATATTATGTGATTATGTGCACATACATTATAACTGCGGCTTCTTCCCGAGTCACTCATTGGTGAATAGCGATTCCATTTCTAAAGCCAAGCGCAGCCCTTTCTGTTGAGTGGGTGAAGACAATGACCAATCATAGGGGTGTAAGACCTCGCTTGACAGTGCTCAAAAAGCAAGAGGCATATATTAACATTAGTTATTATATTTATTATATTTAATATTTACATTAGTTTATTTGCTATAAACGCCTATCCATTCTTCTGTGCATGTATTAGAGTTTTGTTTGATACAATCAATTAGTGTTTTTTTTGAGCAGGTCAAATAAAGGTACAGTTCATACATCTCACTGCAGGTATTAAAGGACAAAATTGTATTACAAATAATAAATAAATATTGATATATTTATAGATTTTGATTAAAAAAATTCTTGTGTTGTCAAGAAAAAACATAATTGTGTAAGGAAAGCATCATTAATGCACCGAGATATCGAATTGAACCGAATCAATGGCATGATAATCGTAACCAAACTGTGAGACCAGTTTGGTTCACACCCCTACTATCGGCCATCAGCGATGGCATTGTCCATCCACCCAACCCTAATTTACGTACACGACCCCCTGACCACAATAATATTGTCAAGCTTTGACTGGTCCACAGTGATAAAAAGGTTGGGACCATTGCCCTAAACCCAACTGTAAACACTAACTTGGGCTTCCATATGGGAGAAGAACCTGCCAGCTCTGTTTCTGGATCATTAACTTCAACAAAGTGCCATCCCGCGCATTCAGATCAACATTCGTGCTCATCTAATCAAAACCAATTCAGCCATGTTGCTGGAGCAATCATTTCTGCATGCTCCACCAGCTGCTACATCTCCCCAGGTGCATTTGAATCCATGCTTCATGACCAATGAATAATGAAGTCAGCAGTATACTTTATATGGGAGACAAATGATATGTCAACAGTCTTGAGGGTGTGGTGTATTTTAGACCTTCCCAGCGTATATGGACATGCACTGGACCTGAGGTCAACACAGATGACCTGTGGCAGCAGGCAGCATGCTACAGATATCATTCTAAACAGGAAAATTCAGTTGCATTAAAAAGGTGGCCCATGCATGGAGCACTCAATCACAATGACCGCTCAACTGCAACACAACTGACTGAAATCTAAGCTCTGTGATTGAGTCAAATCTACTCTCGGGGGACATGTTAAAGCTATGGAACAGCTTTGAAAAGGAATTCATTTGTATGATGCACCTGCAATAGTGATGCATTGAAAGGGTCAGCAAATCTAAAGACCAATGGAATTGCATCCTAAAAAAGAAAAAAAAGTGTCACGTCATTAAAAACTTCTATCTTTGGAGAGCTTAAGCTGCCTTTTCCCCACATAATCAATCTCAATTAACACTTAATTGAAGACTCGTGTTCTTCGGAAGGTCTGGACTCCATCGCAGCTTTCATTATTCCAAGACTGGCCATAACATGAGGATACCTGACTGACATGTAAAGCAACAATCATAGTTTGTTTTGTTCACCCTCAAGCTTTGGGAGCATGAAAGACCAGTGTGCAACAATCATTCATCCATTCAAGAATGTCGTTTTCAGTCAACAAAGTCCAGGCACACAAACTTTTGAATAGCCAGCGTTTAACTGATCCTGATGAGGCACTCATTGTCTCAACTGTAAACACAACAGCTTAATTCTTCCATCAGTTGGTTTTGCATCTCACAAAGATTTTGTTTTGGGTTTGGCATTACAAGAACTTTTTTTCCAGGTAAAGAATGCAACACACCTTCTAAAAATCCTGTAGAATTCAACCAATGAGATGATGGATCTCAACTTCTGAAGTTGCATTTTGTGTAAAGACACGAGTAGGGTCAGACAGAATCTAGGGACATTTTTTGCAATCTCTCCTGAGAATTTTGTTTAAAAAATGTGCGGATTTATGCAGAATGGATTTAGGAGTATCCTAACTAAAAACTTTTTATATGAAATAAAAAAATACATTTTTAACTTTTATTGAATGTTTACAATGCAAATCCAACTAGATACACTTATTTGGTAAACAAAGACATCTAGCTAATGGTCATAACATGAGGGTGAGACTAATCAACAACCGGATCAAAATAAAAACTTTATGAAAGGTAAAGTATTTCTCTGTGTTATTAGTATTATAAACCATGTTGAGGAATGTAAACAAAAACCATGGTCACAATGCATTTCCTGTTTTACATTTTTAAGTTCTATAGCATCCGAGAATCTAAAAAGAGCCACGCATTGATAAATAATGTTATGTTAGCTGCTTTAACATTAAGTTATGATTAAATTGTCTCTAGTTACAGTTATGAAATAGTTTGATAAGCAGGAAATGTTCATGGGCCAATGATTATCATCACATTGAAATGGTCTTCTTATTCAATCCCCTACAGAAGTAACATGTAGACCACGACAAGCCTCCAAATTGTAAATCTCTTACAGGGGAGTCCTAAATCCAATGATAGCCTGAGAGGCTCAGAATATTATTTATGAACTCTGTCAACACACTTACTGAGGGATGACAGGCACCGCTTACACAGTGACAATGACGAGGTCTACAAGTTAAGAATAAATGATCAAACCTGACTACACTTTATGTGACTGGAAACGTCTTTTAATTTTTTCATACCATAGAATTCTCAATGAACCTACTTGACTTGCATTAAAAAACTGGCATGTATAAAATATAAGTATTACTTAAAAGCAAGAAAACATTTCTATTAGCATAACCACCTATAACTGAGGCTAATATGTTTCTTCTAATGGAATATAAAAATATGTGCACTGCAACGTTAGTATCATTTATAACCAGCTCTAGAAGAAGCTTTAAACAAATCCCATGTGAAGTCTGTAATGTTTTCGATGGTTAACACCAAAACTGTTACAATAAGTCACATCATTGAGGTAAAGTTGGTTTTATATTCGCACATTTGGGTTTTGTCCTTAATATAATTTCAGAAAAGCATTCTTTGCAGTGTCTAAATGGTGGACTCATATTAGCAACCAATAACTATTAAATTACAACTGTTCACAGTCGAATATGGAGCTAATGTTGTTTTGTAGTCTGAATACATAGACGAAAAGTTGGTTTTATATTCACACATTCGGACTTTCCCCTTAATAATATAATTTATTTGAAGTATTATTTGCAAACTCTAAATAGCGAAATCATATTAGCACTCAATGACTATCAAAGTACAACATTGTTCACAGTCAAATAAACAGTGTTAATGTTGTTTTCAAGCCACACTTGCATGCTAATTCCTATCGAATATTCAAAGTAACATGGCAAACAATATAGAGACTTCTAAATGAACGAATGTGGGAATATAAAACCAACTTTACCTCTATTCTGAATACTTGCATGTGATTTCATACCGAATATTCAAAGTACCATGGTAAACAATATAGTGAGCTTGTCACAAGTTGTCACTTAACAAAGGTGCAAATATAAAACTAACTAACTTATACCTCAATAGTCACATCGAGATTGTACTAACAAAACATTTCATTGAAGGGAAGGAGACATCATTTCATGTTTTGTAGTATTAAATCACGAAGCAAAGCTATGCCAAATCAGAACAATAAATCACTGCTCATAAACGTGCAAAGTTCAGAGCCCAAATTAATGTACAATAATATAATTAAATGCTAACAACAAACATTAAAAATGATATAAACTGAATAGTTTCGCGAATCTTTTCACACTTATTACAGCAGATGAAGCGGAATTAAATCTTTACACCTGTGGCACAAATCATGAGCACATTGTTTTGCTAAAGCTAAGATTTTGTTTCACAACAACTGGATACATCTTGAACGTGACAACGAAAAAAAAACAATCTTACCATTTTTGGACGCCTTGGGCGAGTCAGCTCACTTTCCAGGTGAAAAATGTTGCTAATTTCGTAATATTTTGCGAGCCACGGGCTACATTAGCCAGGCTGCTAAGTGAACGTCCTCTCTCCTCCATGTGCTCACAGCAGCACGCGCATCGTGGGCGCTTTGCATAGAGTCAGATCAGGGCTTGACGTCACCGTGCGACAACTTCATCTTTTATTACACAAAACACTTATAAACTAACTGGTGGTGCTTATGTATAAATATAAATCACATATTGTCGATTAAGTTTCATTAACTTGGTAATATTGATTGTAAACAACACTAATGACTGACACTAAAACTTTTTTCTTGACTGACAACCTGTCACTCACTGACAGAAAGCATTATCTAAAGCCAGAGTTCAATTATTTGGCTCCTTAGCACATTTCTTGAATCATTGCTACAAGTAGATCCAGGATCAATTATAAAAACATTTATTCACCATAATTAGTGTTACTGTAATGATAATCTTGGTACGCAGAATGAGAATACACCAATGCAAGCTGTCTGGTGCAATGGCAGACCCTCAAATGACATGACAGCAGACCAGTTTACTTATGTTACATGTTTATGCTCCACAGTTGTAATGAATTCAGTTGAGAATGTTGAAGTTATATGTGCTTTATATGTAAACACTGAGTGTATTTGATTGTGTCATACACCAAATATGAGTATCTTGAAAACAGTAAAGCGATTTGGAAAGTGTGCAAGAGAGAAATGACATCGTCATCCATCCTGGACTGTTTTCAAAAAATGTTCAGTGAACTTGTGATACCAAGTTAACAGGACCTAATTATATTGAAGTTTTAAACTGGTTGTGAAAGAGGAATGCAATGCATTCTACCAAACTCAAATTTAACATGTGCGAGTTGAAGGCGAGGCCAAGACTGAGCTGGTTTCCCTCTGGGATTTCATTTTGCAGCATGGTCTTCAAAACTGCTGCACTGAAGGGAAGGAGACATATTTTTGCCCAGCAGGTACACCAAAAGCAATATGAAAGATGATGTCTTTTAGGAAAGATGTAGTGAAGCAAGCAGTAACTTATTTCTACTAGATTATGCAGTTGGGTAAACGCCACTCACTGTGGATCTCAAAGTTGAATATGAGCCACAGCTGATAACAACAATATCAATATGTAGAAGTGCGATTCACCTCAAGTGAATTAAAGGTGAAAGCTTTGATGCTTATAATTGAGTAACTCTGACAAAAGCATTAGTCACTCCACAATGACAAACAGATGATGGTGTTGCCAAGATAAATGTAGAGCAAAACAAAGTCTTATGTACACTGAAATCTACCAGATCAATTAAGCATTACATCAGTGTATGACTGTGGTCTTTATGGATAACCTAATCCAAGACTTTGAAGAGGGTCATTATGATGACAGGAAAAAGCAAAAAGAAAGGAGTCCACAATGAAGACAGGATTAGTCAAAAAAACACAACTTTATAGAGAAACACATTTAAGAAATCAACAGAATCTTGAATACATATGTGCATTATGTACAAAACTTACAAAAAAGCATTAAGTTAAGGCCAACAGTAAAATGAAACCATAGACCATGTTAATACTAAAAAATAAAATTAAATACAAATAAATTCAACCTCTATCGCGTTCAAATTGAGGCAGTGTGAATTGTATAAATCAATGCAAGATTGCTCACTACTTTGCCACACCCTCGCCAGACCTTGTATCGACTCATGGCATAACCATACAAGGATGCATAAAACAAGTTCATAAATTAAGTCCAGGCAGCTTAAGAACAGCTCAACTGCTCGAGTCTCTGTTTCAAATGTTCACATTTCCTCCTCAACTGCTCCTTAAGTGAGATCAGTCTTTGTTCATCCTCCTGCATGCTCGCTATGCACTCCGTCGCCTTCTTCAGGATCACCACTTTGGCCGCTTTCTCGTTGTTCGCCACGTCAGGAATGACGTCCCTCAGCGCGAAGAAGCTCAGTTTGAGCTCGTTCCGCCGCTGCCGCTCGAGCACATTATGAGTCCTCCGCTTATCGTTATCCTCAGAGTCCGACGTCCTGGGACTCGCGCATTTTCGGTTATGGCTAATTTGTTTAAACACCCGGATGTGGCTCTCGAATTTAATCCGCTTGACTGCAGGCTGCTCATTCCGCGTGGACGGATGGGCGGCGTAGTTGTGTTGGTGAATGTTAACGTGACACCGCTTGAGGACGACCGGGCTTTGATGCGTTGCGTTCGCGTCAGACTTTTTCACCGACTTTCTCTTTTCCACCGTGACCACGTCAATTTCTTCCTCCTCTTCTTCATCTTCATCATCTTCGTCATCTGTTTGGGTTTAAAAGCAAAAAATGCGTCAATTTGACAACCTAGCGTAGAATAAAGTGCAGTGGGCGGGAGCGTCCCCTCACGCTGCAGTCCAGGATTAACGCTTTAACCGCCACCAACTTCATGAGTAAAATGCCAATTATGTCTCATACATTAAAAACCATACAACCATAAGCTGAACTACCAAGTTGGTAGTTCTGATAGGAGTTAAATAACACTCACCGGATTCGCTGTCACTACTGCTGCTGCTACTCCCACTGTTTGGCGGAGTATCCAGTGGAAGTGTTGTGGAAGCCGGCGTGGGCGCGGGTTTGCACGGCTTTGTGCTGTCCGTCAGTGGAAAGGGAAACACCACGGACGGGTCAATGCACTGGGAGGCAGGGGTGCTCATGTCCTGGAGGAAGCCGACAGACCGACAGATGTCCGCGGACTCGGTCCTGGATGACTCCTTCCTCGCCGCCTGGAGCGACGCTAATCTCTCCGACACCACCTTCTCCAGCTTAGCCGCTGCGGAGAAACCGCTCCACATACAGTCCTGAATGATAATCGATTTCAGAAACGACTGGGAGTAGTCCGCGTCACAAATAATGCTGTGGTTGACCACATCGTCCCCCAAAAACTCCGACACCATCTCGAGCTTGTCGGCTGTGGACGGGAAGGGGTCTGACAGGGAGGGTCGCCGGCTCGGGGAGAGCGGAGGGGTGGGCAGCAGTTCAAATTTCTTCCATATATCCTCACTGGGCGCCGGTGGCTGTCCGTGCTGATGGTTATAGAAATCCTCGTCCTCGTTGTCAAAATAGAAATAGGGCTGGTAGGAGTCGTAGTCGTAATCATAATTTTTACACTCCATACTTGAATTCAGCGGCATGGTGAGTGCCTGTGAAGAAGAAGGCATGGTTAAAGTCTCGCTCTTTAAATGTTAACACAAATGTTAATCATCCTAAACACAACTTCAATCAGTCGTCTCCTGGATTTACTAATGATGCGTCAGACAAGTCGCGTAAACTTATCTGAACCGCCAGATACAAGTAGGTAAATAAACAGAGCACTCACCGTAGCCGTGGTAAAAGCTGAATGAACACTGACAATATGGTCAGATGTCAGCGTGAGCGTGAACTATCAAGTGAAAGTAAGTCCAAAAGTGGGAGTGGGTCGCGCCGCTGAACCTGCGCACTTCTGCAGCACCCGTGCGGCTGCTTGTCATTTACTGCAAGATTTCGAACAGCTGCTCCCGCGGGTTTTAATACAACGGATTGTTATTCCTCCCCCTACTATTGATATCCATGCGCCGTTCCCGCCAAACGCTCACGGCGTAGAATGATGAACACAACGCCAGCTTTACTTATTAGCTATTTTATAAACCCATAACTTAATGACATAAGAGTATATATAAAGACATGAATGTAGCAATAAAGAAAAACGCTTTAAAAGACGAGCATGTTTAATAAAGACGAGTTATACATGGAACTACTTGTCATAGTGTTCTTCCGCGGGGCGGAGCTTTAGATGAAAACACCGCACACTGAGCTGTGCTTGACGATGATTCCGAGAATCCACGGAGTTGAGTCGGTACAACAACGCACACAGCACCTCTTATTTACACGGATACAAGCCCAACAGACAGCTCTGTCAAAAGGATGATGTAATGTATAATAATCACAATATAAATGTGACGAACAAAAGAAATGTAATGAATGGCTTCTGAAGATTAAAAAAAACAATTTCAGAGAATTAGAAACTCTTCTATTGTACTATTTTTAACAATTACTGCCAGCTTATTCTAATTTACTCCTTATTCCACATCTGTTTATGATGTATGTTATATTGTAAAACAAATCAATATTAGAGTGTGTTTGATAGCTGATCATCAGAATGAGACTGATGTGGAGTTTGATCTTGACCTGATGAAGGAGCAAGCCTGTCATGGTTTCTGCTTCCAGACGCGGTTCGTGCTTCCCTCTGCTGGCTGTATCTAAAAACTGAGTTAGATTAAATATCTTGAATTTATCTGCAGTCATTAAATTGTCTTTTATATAAATTAAAATGTTTACAGTTAAAGAGAATTTACACTAGTATTATTTAGCCCACTTATGTCTGGGGGATTTTTAAAAAATATATTTAGGAAAAAATGTTTAAAGACAGTGCACGGTTTATTAATTTTCTTTTTAAAATTAGTCCCTTTATCAGGGGTTGCCACAGCGGAATGAACCACCAACTTTTAAACACTGTTAAATAGATTATTGCAATCCTAATAATCCTAAAGTCTTTCTAGCATTTTTCAGAATGTAATGTAATGACCTGGTTTTATATATATATATATATATATATATATATATATATATATATATATATATATATATATACGATTCAAACGTCTGTGATTGGTATATTGCATTTACATTTTTTATAACAATAATAGAAAAAAAATCTAAATCGAAAATTCTATTTAATTTAAATGTATTTTTTCCCTGTGACCAAAAAGCCGAATTTACAGCAGTCTTTACATAGATTATCTGAATCTGTAGGACAGATGCATTACAATATTGTCTGTGACTTCATGTTTTCCAAAGTGAAAAAGATCAATGGTGACGCAGTGGCACAGTAGGTAGTGCTGTCGCCTCACAGCAAGAAGGTCGTTGGTTGGAGCCTCGGCTGGGTCAGTTGGCGTTTCTGTGTGGAGTTTTTATGTTCTCCCTGCGTTCGAGTGGTGCTCAGATTTTCCCCACAGTCCAAAGACATGCGGTACAGGTGAATTGGGTAAGCTAAATTGTCCGTAGTGTATGAGTGTAATGAGTGTGTATGGATGTTTCCCAGAGTTGGGTTGCAGCTGGAAGGGCATCCGCTGCGTAAAACAAGTGCTGGATAAGTTGGCGGTTTGTTCCGCTGTGGCGACCCTAGATTAATGAAGGGACTAAGCCGGAAAGAAAATGAATGAATGAATGAATGAATGAAAAAGATCAATGCAAAAATAACAATTATGGCCAAACATGTTTAATTTAAAATTAATGGCATTTATTCATACAATTAAGCAAAGCAATACAAAAACAACTTATTCAGCAGTATTAGCCCATTATTAAAAAAGGATCTCTTGTTACACCTTTTTTTGCTATTTTTTGTCGTTACAGTTTTTTTTAATTATTACTTATAATTAATGTATATATTCACAGTGAGTACACATACATTATGTAAAAACAAACTTTTTGGATATATACAGTTGAAGTCAGAATTATTAGCCCCCTAAAATTTTTGACCCCTTGTTTATTTTTTCCCCAATTTCTGTTTAACAGAGACAACATTTTTTCCAACACATTTCTAATCATAATAGTTTTAATAACTCACTTTTAATAACTGATTTATTTTATCTTTGTCATGATGACAGTAAATAATACTTGACCAGATATTTTTCAAGACATTTCTATTCAGCTTAAAATGACATTTAAAGGCTTAAACAAGTTAATTAGGTTAACTAGGCAGGATAGGGTTTAAATAGGCAAGTTATTGTATGACGATGGTTTTTTCTGTAGACTATCGAAAAACAAAAAGCTTAAAGGGGCTAATAATTTTGACCCTAAAATGGTTTTTAAAAGTTAAAAACTGCTTTTATTCTAGCTGAAATAAAACATACAAGACTTTCTCCAGAAGAAAAAATATTATCAGACATACTGTGAAAATATCCTTGCTCTGTTAAATATCATTTGGCAAATATAAAATTTTTTTTTTTAAAAATCAAAGGGCTTCATTCATTCATTCATTTTCTTGTCAGCTTAGTCCCTTTATTAATCCGGGGTCGCCACAACGAAATGAACCACCAACTTATCCAGCAAGTTTTTACGCAGCGAATGCCCTTCCAGCCGCAACCCATCTCTGGGAAACATCCACACACACATTCACACACACACTCATAAACTACGGACAATTTACCCTACCCAATTCACCTGTACCGCATGTCTTTGGACTGTGGGGGAAACCAGAGCACCCGGAGGAAACCCACACGAAGGCAGGGAGAGCTGAGGTTCGAACCAGCGACCAAGTGACCTTCTTGCTGTGAGGCCACAGCACTACCTACTGTGCCACTGCCTCGCCTCAAGCTAAATATTGCAAGAAAAAAAAATTACAACCTAAAAAATTTAAACTAAATTATTAAATTTTTTGTTTCTCTTCATTTTTCTTCTTTTTTTTTTATTTGTATGTAATATTTTTCTATAAGATAAATTTGGGTGTTCTAGTTTTTGGACTGTTATTGTAAGTTTATATAGTGCTCAGCATTTATACACCCTTCACAAATCTATGTATTAAACTAATATTTTTTATAGGAAGCTTATTAAATTGATGTTATATAAAAATATTATATATATATATATATATATATATATATATATATATATATATATATATATATATATATATATTTATATATATAGCCCATAATATTATATTATATTAATATTAAAAGCCCATAATGTTGCAACAAAGTTTTCTTAATATCGATAGATTGACTTCATATGAAGAAAAAAAAATTGTCATTATGCACAAATCTCTTGCTCTGACAGCTCTTCCCATTCTGCACAAAATAAATCTTTATTGTTGATATTCTGTGAGAACTCCGAAGACATACTTAACATGGCATAGTGGCATATGATAAGTGACCAAGCAGAGATCGATTCTCCTTCTGTGAAACCACAGCTCCACTTTACTAGCAGACATGGAGATTGTCCCGTCTTCCTGCAATCTACAGGATGTCAAAGGCCCATGTTTAGGCATGACAGGAGAGATAGCTGAGGCCAGGCCTTCTGCACCAGCGTTACTATTAAAGTTTTTTGTCTTAGAGCCAAGTGTGCAGAAGGGACAGCCTGACCCATGACTGCACTGTCCCGTGCAGAGACCTCATCGCAGTCACACTTCAGAGGTCTGAAGTGCTTGCCAGGTACAAGTTAAAATATAGCTCAAACGGTGATACTGTTTATAAAGTGGGATAATAATTAATTTATTTGTAAAATGGAAGCATTGACATTTAAACAACTTTTATATTTTGCAAAAAAAAAAAAAAGTCATAACCGAACAATTTTGTGTTTAACAGACTTTTAAATATAAACGTCTCAACTAAAACAAGTCTAAATGTGGGCTGCCAGTGAAACAGACATAACAATAGTCAGATTAGACAGACTTCATGTATGTATTTATTCATTCCTTTCAATCTGATGACTAGCCTATTTTTGTACTACTGTTAGATGTCTATTGGATTTTAAATGACAGCTCCAATTAAGCCTTGTTTTAGCCATGTTTGGACGTCAAATAGACATCTTTTAAACACACACACAAAGCTTGCTGGCACCATTACACCAGTGTTAGGAGTAATGCATTAAACTAACACAAATTACATAATCAGATTACTTTTTACAAGTAACTAATAAAGTAATTAGTGTTGGGCAAAAAATAAGCGTAATTAATCACATCCATTCATTCTTTTTTCTTTTCGGCTTGTCCCTTTATTAATCTGGGGTCGCCACAGTGCAATGAACCACCAACTGTTTTTATGCAGTGGATGCCCCTTTGGAACCCATCACTGGGAAACATCAGGAATATATCGCTTGTCTTTGGACAGTGGGGAACACCGGAGCACCCGGAGGAAACCCACGCCAACACAGGGAAAACGTGCCAACTCCGCACAGAAACAGCAACTGATCCAGCTGGGGCTCGAACCAGTGACCTTCTAGCTATTGTTGATCACATCCAAAATATCCAAAATAAATAATAATAAAATAAAAAGTTTGTTTTGACAAAATGTAAATGTGTGTACTGTGTATATTTAATATCTATGTATAAACACACACATTCATGCATTGCATATATTTGAGAAAATGATTATATATATATATATATATATATATATATATATATATATATATATATATATATATATATATATATATGCACTGTAATAAATAAACAAACACACATATTTAAAAAATCTAAGTTGAATGGGATTAATCACAATAAGTTCTTGCCCAGCACTTTTAAATTTACAACAAACTATCTGACTTACAATCTAAGTTGCTTTGTTTTCCTGTTTGTTTGACTGATGGACAAAAATCGTGAGTAAAAGCAGATGTGTTTGTATGAAGTGTAACCATGATACTGTAATTCTAGCTTAAATGTGAACATGTATTAGTCATCACACTTGCAGAAAAACAGATTCTGTATCACTTAAAAATGAATAAATACCAGTGAAAGGCAAACTCTGACTATTCATTCATGAGAAGTGTTTCTGTTTTCATGCATCCTATTCTTATAAAGCAATTAAAAAATGCAGCACAACGTCTCATTTGTTCAGACATGAATTTACATTTCCCTCAGCATGATTTTTTTTTTTTTCGCTTTTCACTTTTGGTAATTGTTCCTTATACATTCTATATATATTTATAAATATATAGTATCTCTAAAAATATGATGTTATGTATTATATTATGTAATATTATGACAAATAAGGACACCTGGCACCAATGCAATATAACACATTACCTTCCATAAAAGTAACTGTGTACTACATTTAGTTCCTTTTTTTAAACTGTAATGCATCTGTAACACTTCCCCAAAGCTGAACGTGTCTACTGTTTTTGGAACCCACTGACTTTCATTAGACTGTATAGACATGAAGAGCTGAAACATTCTTCAAAATTTCTCATGTTTTGTTTTGCAAAATAAGTGAACTACACATGATTTGAACAACACAGAGGTGAGTAAATGATGACTGAATATTTTTATATTTTTATATATAAAATATTTTAAAATATATTTTAGTTAGAGTTAGTTGCTAACACATTAAAAAGGGATTAAATGTCACTGATTTTCCAAATGTGATAATTTTTATGAAATTGACCTGTTCTAATATTCAAAAGGCTTTTCTAATTTTTCTTGTATAAAGAGCCTGTGAATTAAATTAGCATATGTAGTATATACATAAGTGTACAAATTATAAAATATTACTTTCTATCAATATTTATTTTCATTAATTATTTAGCCTGTCATTCACTTATTCTAATAATTAATTTGTATTTTAATCTAATGTTCATAAATTTTTTAAATTAAATAATGACACATTTTTTATTTTGAAACTTAATCTTTTTTGTAATTATTGTGTTTTGCTTGTGGTAAGATATTCAGGGTTTTTGTTAATAGATATTTATGGTTAATCTTATTTTTCATTTTAGCATTATTCTAACAAGTTTTAAAAATGTTGTCATTTATTCATAATTTTATTTACTCTAAATATATTCTCAAAATTATATATATTTCTGTTAATTGAGCAAACAATGAGCAGTTACGTTTTTATAAAAAAAATCAATCTTCACAAATATTAATACTGCAACAAAAATAATGCTTGTTATATGTTAATTTTACAAAACATTCATAAGCACTATATTGTTGAATGTAATGCATTAAGCAGGCTGCAGGCCCATAATCAAGGGGGCTTCGGGTGGTTTGAAAAAACCCACCCTTCACTGACAAAGGTTCAGAAGTTGTCCCATACTTTAGCTAATTTGTCCTATTTTGACTGCCTTAATAAATTGTGAAAATAATCCATCAAAAACGGCTTTACCACCAAGCGAAACCCTGCGTTGACTGTCTCTTTCGTGTGACAAGAAAGTTGAATGTGTTGGCCAGTTTGCTTTTTAAATGAATCATATTTAATTGACAATAGGTTACAGTTTTTAATTTGAAACTTTAACATATTCCTATTTTCTTATTTTTCTAATGATATGATGTAACATGTATATATGATGTAAATGATAATTGATGTAAATCTTTAGGAATGTTTTTGGTACATCAAAAAGAGTGGTTATGATGACTAAAATGCAACCTATTTAAACCTCATAATTAAATAGAAAATGAGGTGAATAACTACAAAAAGGTCCACTTCCAAAAAAATAAAAAATAAAAATAAAAAATAAAAAAATCACCCCTTTCACCAGGCTTGCTACGGGCCTGTTACGGTCATAAAAATAGTTCACCAAAAACTGAAAATTCTGCCATTATCTATCATTATCACTTGTCACAAATGTCTTTCTTTTCCCTGCTGGGAGATCACCAGTTAAAATCAGCTTGTCCAGGTTAGTCAAGCTGTGAGGCCAATTAAAACCAGCTATGTCCAGCTTAAACCAGACTGGTCAAGCTTGTTTTAGCTGGTCATTTTCCAGCCTGACCCAATAGTATCTGGATGTAGCCTTTAGGATACAAGCTGAAAATGCATCGCACTCAATAAAGCTGACATCACTGTGAGGGGTATGGTTAGGAGTGGAGTTAGGTGAGTGCATTAAAAAGCATTGGATGCAGCTCAGATTGCATCTGCACTGAGTTTGCAGCCAGACCCCTCTCGCCTGACCAGCTATGACTAGGCTGGAAGCCAACCTGAAAATGACCAAACCCCTATTAAAACCAGGCTGGTCGACCAGCTAAACCAGCCAACCTAGGGGTTAGGGTTGTCGAAGACAAATGAAATAAGACATTTTAAAGTGTTAAAAACCGGTAACTATTGCTTTATTGATATTTGTTTTTGCTATCGATGTCAATTGTTAGCCTGTTTCCAACATTCTTCAAGATACTTTTGTCTTAGATGTAAGAAAGTCAAAAAAGATACCGGTGTTACGGTTTAACTGGTGACCGTGTTAACTGGTGTCCCTTTCCAGATGTAAGCTATTCACGTTTGCAGATTGGCAGATTCGTCACTTTTTCACAGCAACAAAACATGTCCATACCAAATAAAGATTCTTATTACTTGGTGTCAGTGTCATTGTGTGCATTATTGATTTTAATATCTGTGTAGCAGAACAGTATATAACCAAAGTAAATAAAAAAAATAATTAGAATTGACATGTCTTTAACAGGATTCGAACCCGTGTAGTGAAAAGGTTTAGCACACGTATCAGTCATCTTATCTAACTGAGCTACTCAGAACTCCAAACGAAGCGGTCTGTTTTAATATCTTTGTCAATTAAAACATGCCTTGCTGTGGTAGTGGACCCGTGTTAACATGTTTCCATCGATGTTAACATGTTTACATGTTGTTTAGTTACATGTACTCGCGTTAACGTGTTTCTACAAACTCTCCCGCTGATAGAATAGCTCTCTGTGACTAAACGATGCTTCATCAGTTGCTCAAGCCATGTTTTTTCTTAGTTCTAGACTCATGTCTACCTGTGCCTTTGGAGTCGTGTTAACTCGTGACCCATGCTCATACATGTAACGTAAATAAAGATTTTATCCAAAAAATGAATACAATGACGATATTATTATGCAACGTATTATGTCTAATATATATAATATATATATTTCATATATAATATTATGCAACAGAATATTAATTGAAAATCGCAACATTTCAATGTATGATCTTGGTCACATCTGTATCAAGGTACTTATGAACATGATTTGGCTACATACGATAAAATTACTAAAAGCTGCTAAGCCTTTCGTTTCAACAGTGCTTGATAGCTCAATTAGATAGCACGTATGTTCCAATCATGCTTCTCTTTTGTTAGTAGGTTCGAATCCACATACGAGTTTTGTTTATGTAGCCTGATTTTTTTTAATTCTCTTTAAAATAAAATGTGGGGGGACTGCGATTTATAACGTATGCTTATTTAGCGGAACATCGTAGTCATTTAGAGCTATTCTGAGAAAATATCAGCTCGTTTAACTTTGTAGACACAGACTAACACGAGTCAATGGGACTATTATATTCTGATTGCATAATATTCTAATATTCTGTTGCATAATATTATATATGAAATATATAATATATATATTAGACATAATACGTTGCATAATAATATCGTCATTGTATTCATTTTTTGGATAAAATCTTTATTTACGTTACATGTATGAGCATGGGTCACGAGTTAACACGACTCCAAAGGCACAGGTAGACATGAGTCTAGAACTAAGAAAAAACATGGTTTGAGCAACTGATGAAGCATCGTTTAGTCACAGAGAGCTATTCTATCAGCGGGAGAGTTTGTAGAAACACGTTAACGCGAGTACATGTAACTAAACAACATGTAAACATGTTAACATCGATGGAAACATGTTAACACGGGTCCACTACCACAGCAAGGCATGTTTTAATTGACAAAGATATTAAAACAGACCGCTTCGTTTGGAGTTCTGAGTAGCTCAGTTAGATAAGTTGACTGATACGTGTGCTAAACCTTTTCACTACACGGGTTCGAATCCTGTTAAAGACATGTCAATTCTAATTTTTTTTTTTACTTACTTTGGTTATATACTGTTCTGCTACACAGATATTAAAATCAATAATGCACACAATGACACTGACACCAAGTAATAAGAATCTTTATTTGGTATGGACATGTTTTGTTGCTGTGAAAAAGTGACGAATCTGCCAATCTGCAAACGTGAATAGCTTACATCTGGAAAGGGACACCAGTTAACACGGTCACCAGTTAAACCGTAACACCGGAACCACGTGAGGGTGAGTAAATAGCGAGTACACTTTTGTTTGGTGAACTAACGTTAGTCGTTTTAAGTTAACCAAATTATCAAATTTAACAAATTACTAAAAATATATATATATATATTCACAGAATTTTAGGGAGCTCATCACCCTGACGTGTTACTAAAACTATACTCTTTCACAAAATAAATGTGTTGGCGTCCAAGAAGCACTCACCTTTCAGCTTTTGGGTTCAGGTGCCAGTGTTAAACTGCCACAGAAGAGGGCGCCCTTTTACTGCTATCATCAAGTCAACGTATATTTGCATGTTTACGTCCGTCAAGTTGTAAATGAGGTGCAAAATTGGTCTCCTTAAGTTTACTTTCAGCTGTCTCGCTGTGTATGACATATATAGGAGAATATTGTTCAGTTTTCTGAATAGTAGACTTGCCATTGAATAAAAATACAAACACATCTCCTTGCTTGCAATGAAGACAAGAGCATCAGCACTTGAAACCACGTTCACTGTTTAATGAGAGGACTGAACTTTGTGAAACCGTAATAAATGTTTCTATCGTTACTTTGCATTGTCCAGAATATCTCATATACAGAACAAGCCGAGCCAGACTTCACTATAGTCTAAATCTAAATGAAACAAACACCGGCTTAAGACATCCTCAATATCTGTGCATCATTGCAAAATGTGGAAAAACAGCTCACAGGGAGGGACAATTAATCAGACTTTATATTACTTTAATATTTTCCCATCACAAACATCCTGAGATACAAAATAAATGCTTGAAATAAATTAAGATAAAAATACTTCAATAGACGTCGTTATGAAAACACAGTCCCGATTCTTTCGTTCCCTACAATGTACAGAGTTCACAACATCACCCATACAAAAAAGTGTTTCATATTTTATACACCTACAACATATGTTATGTATATTTTAAAAAAATAGGTCCTCTAGATGACCCATAAACCCCAAACATTTGTCACTCGGAAACTTATTTTCTAAGATGTCCATCAAATTCATACTCAATTCCAATAAAAATCTGTGATATCTCTCTTTCTCTCTCTCTATATATATATATTTATATCCTCTGTTGACACTTCTTGTAATGATAAAAGCTGTTGGTCCTCAGACCTCAAAAATCTGATCAAGTCTGTCCTTTCTGTTAAATATTAAAGATTAAAAAAGAAAATACATTCCAAGCGGATGATGTAACTGCATTTAGCAAAGTCTTTCCTCTGAAGATTCAAAACGTGTAGGACGGCAGCACATTAAAGATCAGCATACAGAAAAAGAAAAATAACAGCAGTTAATGCACAACATTGCTTTGGTACAAATCAGTATCTTCACTGTCCTGCATGGGCAGCTGGAAGACGCGTGTGGACTGTAACAAAGATATGCTGCAGCTCCTCTGTGTTTATGTCAACCGTGTGCACACTTGAAAGGGGAGCTGAGTTTTCGCCTTGGCAGCAGGGTACAGTAAGCAAGAAGAATGCTGCCCGAAAAAAGCAACAAGGCCCTGATTTCCACAATGCATCCTGCTTAATCTTCGTCCAGCTCCTCCTCATCTTCTTCTCTCAGCTCCACAATGTCGTCCATGCGGCCTCTGGACCGGACCTCATTCATAGGGGCTGAATCCTCCCCATCAATGGTCATGTCCTCATCCGAATCTTTCTTTTTCTTCTGTGGAGGCAGAAAGAAACTGCTGAGCATTTTCCTCCACGGCATTAGCTTTTGTTGATGAAATATGAGCAGACCGTGTTTGTTTAAATCTTTCATTATAGCTATACTAACATTAGTCATTTTGAACTAGGCAGAAAAAAACGCAAATCATTTTCCCCGGCGCCCGGGTTTTATTGATGAAGCACGAGCAGAGTTAGTTTATTTAATCCTTGTGTGCTGTTGAAGATATTTTATCCACTCTGGGGTGATTTTGAGTCTTAATTTGACCACAACTTTCTGTTTCAGCAAATAAAATGATTTTTGGTGACGAATCTTATTTTGACACATATTTTGGGAAAATGCTTTGAACATTTTTAAAAACTTGAGGCCAAATTTTTTACTCCTTCATTATGTTGGTGGCTGTTTGTGCCCAATTAACTTTCATAATAACACTTTTTTTTTTTACTTTAAAGCCATGACACCACATAATCATGCATTCTTGATTGTGGGTGGTTTTCGCTTTTGAGAAAAAGTAAAACTCGTACATTTTACTGTTGATAATCAGTTGCAGTGCAAAAAAAGCTTAGTTTCTGGATTTTATATGGAGTATAGTGTGCCAAAATACGTACCTCAGCTCTCAGAACATAGTAAACGAAGTCTTTTCATGCCGCATATTATTATTTGTGGTTATACTCCATATAAAAGCCAGTAACTTTTTTTGCACAGGCCTATCTAAAGGGTTAATGGTTCCAAGTGATGAAAAACAGTAAAATTAGAAATTTTACCTTTTCCTGTATATATATATATATATATATATATATATATATATATATATATATATATATATATATATATATATATCTGAAAATATGAAGTGTAAGACCAATTTATTTAAATCCATAATCAAAATAAAACGTGTGTATACTAAATCACCTTTATTTTTTGAAGTATGCCATAAATTAATCCAGAAAAAAACAAACAAAAAGCGCTCTGGGGTAAGCTCAAACGTATGGTTGGTGCTCTTTGGGTAAGGGATTAATCAAAACAGCAACAACAATCAGTCCAAGGCACTCGAAAAAAGTAAAAAAAAAAAAATAAATTTTCATTTTTTTCGAGTGCCTTGGACTGATTCTTGTTGCTATGCCATAAATTGTTTCAGAGTCTCATTTAACAGGTTTTCTTTTTTTTTTTTTACAGTAAAACCAAAATCTTACAGTAAAACCAAAACCAAAAGATTGTTTGTTTGATTTTTTGTAAACCAACAATGCTGTGTGTAAACCATTATTTAAAACAGTCGTTCTTTAAATGACTTTAACAGTTATTATTAAAAACAGTCAAAATATGCTCAATTATTTGGTAGAGCAGGCAGTTAAAGGGTTTTAGGGAAGAATGGGCAAAAACAGCCAAGAACATAACAAAAATACAGTAAATGTGAAGATTAAATTATTCAGTAGAATCATACTTTTATACTGAATAATAATAAGACATAAGGCATGTTTTGTAAAGTTAAGAAGGGTTTTACAATTAAAAAGAGCAGTCTTAGCCCCTTTGACTGCCACTCTACCAAAAAAATAAAGGTGATTTAGTATTCCAAATGTTTCATTTTGATTACATTTTTGAATAAATTGGTCTTACACTTCATATTTTCAGATTTTTCATAGTATATGTATTGATTCCGCTACCATAAACCGACATATCAACCATTTGGTATGAGGCTGATATTTTAGAAATTTTGGGATGTGTTGGAAAAAATGCATTAAGTGTGTTAACTAGCGACATTAGGAGGAGTTAAGAACAGCAATCCAAAAATGTTGTACTTGGTGGGTTAGTTAAAGGGTTAGTGCTGTACGAGCATACAAATATGCTGATTTGCTTCTCCTAAGGTACATTTTTACAGTCTTATTTTTACTACCTTTTTTCTTTCTCACATATTTCAACAATCATCCTAAATTAGGCATCAATCAAAACTTATCAAAATATATATTTATATCTTATTTAGTTTTATATATATTTTTATATATATAAACTTCACTGCTATTGACAAGTATCAAGTTTCATAATGCAAAATGTACCATTTTACCATTTAACACTTTTTTCTAATACTGACAAAAAAGATTAATAAAAAGTCAGAACATTCTTTTACAGAACACAAACTTCTATAACTTCTATAATATTCTGTCCCCTTTCAGTGTTTAAAGTACGATTTAGCAAAAATCAGCTGATCGTTTCAAAAGAGACTATGAATATGATATTGTTAACTCTTGTCTTACATTTTAGTGTCATTTTATTGTGTTTACAGCTGTAAAATCCTAAACTTTGAAACCAGTTTACAAAACCAATTCCAGAGGAAACACTTATGAAACTGGACTTTTGACCCAAGGCCTTATATACTGTAGCTATTGAAATAACTAGTCTGTATTTCCTGCATGTGTACAGTCATAATACTGTACCTGTTTTCGATACACATAGCAAGCTGCAATCGCAACCATGGTAGATTCCCCAAGGAAACCAGCCAGCAGAGATCCAACACCAAGAGTGGCCCCGTGAACCCTGCACAAATAAGCAAAGAGATTGAACCATTTCAAAAAATAACTGTAAGATTGTGTAAACTAAGGGATTCATGATGATGAATTAACAAAAAATATTTAAAAAAAAGGAAACTTCTGAATGCAACAAAAAATACATATATTTAGCCTAAATATCATATTTCTTTCATTTATTGCTGTTCTGAGATATTTGCATGTTTTTCAGAAGACAAAATAACTCAAATTTACCCTGATCTTTAAATTGAAACCGCCTCGAATCATTCAGCTAACAACACAGTATTACAGGGTTTCAAATTTAAGACTTTAAGACCATCAACAATTAAATTTTAGACTATATATATATATATATATATATATATATATATATATATATATATATATATATATATATATATATAACTTAAATGAATGCACAACAAACTGTTATAGTATTAATTATAAGTTTAGTTTATATTGAGATGTATTGTTGGTGATTGGGTATGTGTTGAATCAATTGGGTTGCTTTACATAAACAAAGAAGAAATTAGACCTGTCTAAAATTATTTAAGACCTACAAGACAATATTTCTGTAATTTTAAGAATTAAAAAAGTAAACTCTCTTAATTGTATTTTTTTTACATCAGTAAAAAATATAACTTTTACATGTATACTTTTTTTCTTTTAAACAAAGATTTGTAACATCATGTTACTATTACATTTAAAAGAGAAAGAAAATACATTGAAAAAAGGGAGAAGAAGACAGAAAGGAAAAAAAAACTAAATAGGGTTCAATCACTGCTCTCTTGTTAAAGTACATGGAAATTCTTCATTTTATTTTTATGGGAAAGTCTTTGCGTATTAAAGGTGCAGGCAAGACATGACATTTTTTATTAATGTGGAACAAAGTGGAGGATCTATTCGTTTCCAATTCAGTAAATTCAATCTACGTGCCAAAAGGGTGATAAATCTAATCAATGTATGTTGATTTTTAATAATTCAGCATCATCACTGACATTAAATATAGCTAAAATAGGTATACTTGTTTTCCCACCACTTCTGATATTGAATAAAAAACTTAAACCCAATAATGAACTATTTTAGGAAAACTCCAAAAGATGTGACCAAGTGATGCCGGGGTTTGACTTCATCTATCACACAGTCTACAAACGGGAACATCTTAGAGAGCTTTAATTTAGATGAGTGGAGTTGGTGCAGGATCTTAAATAGTATTAAACCATGCCTGATACACGCAGAACTAGAATGAACTTGTTCTTGTGCTTCCTACCATTGCCAGTTTTCAATTTCTGCTCCGAGATCCTCTTCCCATGCCATTTTGACATGCTCTAATGAAACACCACCTTCGTGAATTTAAGACTTTTTAAGGTCTAAAATTTAGTTTTTGAAATTTAAGACATTTTAAGAATTTTAAGACCCCACGGACACCCTGTATTAGCAATCACGTATAAGTCAACTTTTGTACAAGGTTGTTTTTCATATATGAATGTATGAACTATATGTAAACATCTTTTATGTCAAATATCTTTTTCAGGTCAGCAATAAATAAAAACAAACCCATGAATTTATGATCCTACTTTTGACCTCAACATATAAGGAGCACTTTTAAGTATCTACAAGGTATTTAAGCACAATAAATCCATCAATCACACACACATACCCCATGTAAGGCAGAACTATCAGGCTGGAAATGAGGACAATGATGCGGAGGACCGAGCTGGGCGCCAGGACAAAGGTCTTCTTCAGGGTCATGAGCCAACCAGTCAGATGAGCGCGAATTGTCACTGATCATAAACAAAACAACAGATGTCAGAGCTCAGGTAATTATATTTTACATGCTGATTCTTGCACGGCTATCGCTATTGCTACATCATAAAAATCAGGTCAAGAGCAATAAAATTCAATGGTACTTTGAGCTCTCATTGTGGTTCTCTCTCTCTCTCTCTCACTCTCTGAGGCCTGGAGGCATTGTAACTAAAGCATGAGTACTCTTGACCTTTGCCTTTTCAAATGGACATTTTCAAAGAGCGACTGGTCCCCTTAAGACCACCTGTCTATTTAATGATGCACTGCAGATCAGACCCCAGATCATGCGGTTTGGTTTGTCAGGAGAAAGCCTCCTGAGAATCTGCAGCTATAGACCTTTGCTAAACCCTCAACAGATTTACACAGTTTGAACATGGGTTGTTCAATATACATTATTGTTCAAACATCTGGGGCCAGGGATATTTGACATTGAGAATAAATGTGTTAACACAGTAGAACTACAAAGGAGGTCATTTTGATATTTAAAAAAATTTGTAATGTAAATAAAACTCATACAACAAAAATACCCTGACTTGTCCTAAATGTATGTATATTTCTTTTAATCATTTTTCAAGTTAATGTGAAGTTTCTGCTCAAAATACGCCACAGATAATGTTTTATAGCTCGTTGAAACTGCCCTCTATCAGGCTTTCATCTTAGTTGTGACATTTTTAGTGACTGTCGCTTTAAATTCAAATGAGATTGTGATCCCAGCCCTCTTTTCAAATAAGGGCGGAGCTACAAATACAGATGGCTGTTTCGCGATACACGTTCTTCAGCAATCTTGCATCCTCGTGTTTTCATGTACTGTCATCATCTACGTCAAAGTTCAGTTCCAATACTCAAGACTGCAAGAACGGAGGACTCAAGAAACTTCCCGGATGTGTGTCTTCAGCGCAAAACTTAGTCGTGATGTCCCAGAAGTCATTACAACTGGAGGTGGGAAGCGCAGCATTTCATATAGGTTTATTATTAAAGTTCAGAGTTTTCCTAAATGAAACGGTGAATATAAACATTACCATGGAAATCTTAATAACGGCATAAACACATTAAGGGTGTTTGTTTGCTGAAATTCATATTAAAATCTGTTTTATTTATATTGTGCAACATATATTTGTAAGGTCTTTATGCAGAGTATATATTTAAAAAAAGAGGTAAAACATTAAATCGCTGTATGAATGCTGTAATGTTTAAACAATTTCCTGTTAAAAACTCGTTAAGGTCATGTGACCATTAAGAAGAACCAGGGAAGAACGCAGCATCTTAATTCTCAAAGAATGTGTTCTGTGTTCTCGTGGTCTCCCAAGTTCGTTCTTCTAAGGCACAGGTGTCAAACTCAGTTCCAAAAGGGCCGCAGCTCTGCACAGTTTAGTTCCAACCCTAATTAAATGCACCTGATCAAACTAATTGAGACCATCAAGCTTGTTTGAAACCTACAGGTAAGTGTGTTGGAGCAGGGTTGGAACTAAACTGTGCAGGGCTTCGCCCTCCAGGAATTGAGTTTGACACCCCTGTTCTAAAGTGACCTGGCAAGACCGAACTTCACAAGAATGCAGGTTCGTTCTTTGCATTCTTGAAATTGAGAAACAGCCTATGTGTCATCATAGTAGCAGATTCAAACAAGACTAACGTCCTATGCTAATAGGACACTAATGGGCGGAGCGTTCCCCCTCTGATGACATGTACAAAGGGAGAATGTCAATCAAAGTGTTTTTGCAGACTGCTTTTATGAAGTGTGATTACAAAAAATACATTTAATAACAATTTACCATTAGAAGCTGGTTATATTCACAGATTGTTGCCACAAAACTGTGTATAAACCTCTTATAATAGTGACTTTTGCATAATGCTTCCCCTTTAAAATGAATGACCATGGCGATCAAATTGACCACATGCAATTCGGTGACTAGTTTTTCCCCATGTCTTTGAAAATGCATGTCTAACTTTTTGTCTGCAAAAGTCCAACATAACCTTCTGATAGCAAAAAACTGACTGCACTTCAGACATGCCTTTCAAAACAACATGTTCATTGAGGTGAAAAAACCTTGCTCTTCTGAATGCCAGACAAAGTGAGTCACACACCTTCGTGGGTGGTCTAAATACTTGTACATATTTATAGGCTGTATTACTGAAAAGGTTGTATTTTTAGAGGTATGAATTCATTAAATATGATGACAGACACATAAAGCTTAATTTTAATATCTCAGTAGAAGCTTTGAATGTAAAAATAATGTGACAATATGACATCTTATATGAGAATGGTCAGAATAACTGCTATGGCCATTCTAGAAGTTATGCAATTTTGAAAAAAGTTCATTTAAATAAATAAGTAAATAAATAAATATATAAATCTGATTTCAAAAAGTTAATGTGATGCTGAAGAGTAATAGCTGCTGAAAATTCAGCTGTCACAACAGGAATAAATTATGTATTACCATAGGTTAAAATGATAATATAAACACTGTATTTATTGATATTAATATTTATATTGTTGAAGTAATATTACATCATTACAGATTTTACCTCATTTTTTATATAGATAAAATAAATGCAGTATTTCACAAACAAAAAAATTTGTGAATGTCAGCATATGTCCTGTGCTTGTTAATTACATATTTAGGGTATTCTGATTATGATTTTACCAACTCATAAGAATGCAATAATCTTTTTGTTTAGAATTGTACTTTACGGTATGATAAAAATCAGCAAACAATGTTTGTGTCTGAAAGTGTGATACCTGGAATAGGAAAGAAGGAGAAGATTCGTAATGGGGTGATACAGAGCTCAGCAAAGGCATGATCAACTCCTATGATGTCCACCAGGATGCTCTCGGAAATGTGTGGTGCCCAAAACACCATAAAACAGAGCTGCAAACAGAAAGACAAACTACCTGAATGCAACCGTCTAGACAACAGCACGTAACACGAGATTAGGATGATGACAAAGGACCTGTATTAGTGATAAATAAAATAAAAATGAAGATTAAAAATAAATAAATAAATAAACAAACAAAAGTCAAAAATAAAATGCAATATAAATTAAAAAAACTGCAACAAAATGAATAAAAATTATATAAAAAATATAAAAAATTAAATGAAAAAAAACATAAATAAAAAATAAAATAAATAAAAATAAAAACAAAAAAATGTAAATAAAAAAATAAAAAATAAACAAATTAAATTAAATTGAATTAAAGTAATATAAAATAAAAGTTCTTGGTCATTTATCAGAAATGGCATTATGGGAATTCCTGATTTTATAGTAGAAAATAATCTGACAGTTTGCATGTTAATTTTAGACCCAGCACACATCTGGAAGCAACTACTTACCCTGTTAACACAGCAATCAAAACCCTATCATTTACACGCATAGCTGTTTATATCTAACTGGGTGGAACTGGGCCTGTGAAATGTGGATAAAAGCCCTGGAATGGAGGTTTGTGCACTGATATGAATGAGCAGACATAAAAAGCTCAACCCATTAACATCAATTTAACACCTATTACATTTCATTTACAATTAATTCCTAATGGGCTATTTTTGCTACACTACATGTTAAAATAGAATATAGATGCTAAAATACATAAATAAGTAACATTTCAATTGTGATTCTGCCTTTATATCACTGACAGAGTAGTGAAAATGATCACATAGTGTAATGCTACAGTGCAGGCTTTAATGTAGGTCAGCAAGGGAAGATGTGACCCCGATACAGAGGCAGGGCATTAATTAATCATTTAGCCTGACTCTGAAAGCACTCACAATAACAAGACACGCTTTCCTAATGCTCTCCTTATGGCTTCACCATGATGTGTTGAGAAGCTCTATATGGAGGAACTTTCCATATGGAAGAATAACTATTAAAATATTTAAAAAATAGTGTTTATATATACATTTAAGACAAAATGATTAGCCAAGTAATGTTTAACAGAGAAAGGATTTTGTTTTTCATAGAATGTCCTATTTAATTTACCAATGTCTGTTTTTTCTCCTGAATTATTAGCCCCCTGTATATTTTTTCTTCTCCAATTTCTGTTTAATAGAGAAAATTTTCAAAACATTTCTAAACATAATTGTTATGATAAATAATTTCTAATAAATTATTTGTTTTAGCCCCGATTTTCCACTCGCAGATAAGTTTTGAGAAATCGCAGACAAATGCCCTAAATCATAGGCAAATCGGTGCTCGTTCACACGAGTAACTACGATCTGAGAGATCTGTGAGCTATTTGGCATGCTAAAAATCTGGACCTGTTGGCGATTTAAAATCATGCAGTGTGTTCTGACTGAAAATAACATTACCTACAGCCATTGAGAGAACAGCATCCACTAGTATAGTTATCAGGTCAGCGGGAGGTTGGGGGAGAAGTTAGAAGTGCTTATTTTGGTCTATTTAGACCCAAGAAATAAAAGAAAAACTAGTGGAAATTTGACAGGAGTGCCTGTGTCTGATGACATGTCATCTAAGCAATACCACGACTGGTCTGAAAAAGAAAAAAGTTGGAGAGAAATTGCTAATTCCCTTCAAAACCCAGGTGAGGAAAATAAGTATATTGTTAACCTCACTAAAGACTTTTTGCCCATTATGTAGTCATGACTACGTATAAGATGTACTATGTGACCTTGCATTGTTTATGTCACTTCTCATGCGTTTGGTTGTGAGACATTTGCAAACCGAGACAAAGTTCTCTGCGATTCTTCATATTGTAAAATTATACAGTGTGAAACCTCTGTCGCCGATCCATCTTACAGTGTAAACACAGCAGTGACGGAATGCTATCTCAGATGGTCATGCAGTGTGAAAACATCTGTGATGTGACTACTTTGAAAATCGTGCAGTATGAACTCAGCGGTAGTTAGGCAAGTCATTGTATAACAGTGGTTTGTTCTGTAGACAATCAAAGTTTGGGGATTAAAAAAAAGTATATACAATATATATATTTATAATAAAAATATAATAATAGTAATAATAAATGTAAAAAATTATAATATAAGTAAAAACTGCACAGGTCAATATTATTAGCCCTTTTTTGACTGGCTACAGAACTAAGAACTGTTTTCCAATGAATGAACTTATCTTGCTAATAAAATACCTAGTTTAATATTATTTACTGTCATCACGGCAAAGACAAAAGTATTTAGTTATTAGAAATTAATTATTAAAACTATTATGTTTAAAAATGTGTTTAAGTTCTCAATAAAACTCTCTTATAAAATAAGGTTTATTTTTACAGTTATTTATTTAATTAATTCTTATCTTGCGTGGTGGATCTGCAATAATTACAATAAATAAAATAATTATTTGTAACAGGATGCTTTCAATAAAATGTATTGCTTATGCCAGTGGTTCTCAAACTTTTCCCATCAAGTACCACCTCAGAAAAAATTGTCTCTCCAAGTACCACCAAAATGAGCAGTACTGAAAAACAGTAGCGTAGTAGACCCAGTAAAGCAGCTAAAGCTCTGCACAGTTTAAAAAAACATGGCAGATTACCTCAGAAATATAGGCTATATGTCATGTATGGCATATTCATACATCATTTTTGATCAATTTTGAAAATGTAGCATGTACATGACATATTTCATTCCTCTGCATACCACTAGAAGGAAGCCCGACTACCACTAGTGGTAAATGTACCACAGTTTGAGAACCACTGGCTTATGCAATTGTATTCCATAAATATATTTCACAAATGTGGACACGAAACCAACCAACCAAGCATCAAATATATTATAGAATTTAAATAAATACATTTAATCATCAATTTTAACATAATAATTCTTGTTCACATAAAAAAGTATTAAAAAAAATAAATACATTTTAATTATATATAAAAATATACAAATAAATAAAGATTAATATGATTTATAATATACAATATATAACCACCAGTAGGGTGCGATAAGCTTTAACAATGCAACTTGCCCTTAAACAGAAGGAAAACACTTTTTGGCTTCTGTTTTCAGGGTGACTCTTGATTTCAGCTTTCTTTTGAAACTTTTGTGACTGTGTGTGTGTGTGTGTGTGTGTGTGTGTGTGTGTGTGTGTGTGTGTGTGTGTGTGTGTATGTGTGTGTGTGTGTGTGTGTGTGTGTGTGTGTGTGTGGTCGCGATTAGTATACTCTGAGTTGACTGAACTTACTCTGTGAAGTGGTTTTGAACATACATACCTGGAGTAAGTAGGCTTAATCAACCTAGAGTTCATGGTTTAGCAGATGATAAATTGACCTTGCTTTATGAGAATACACCCCTGACATGCTTGAAAAAGACAAATACTGAAGAGCTGATAATTAATAGTAATTAAAGTGCAATTCTATTTGAAACAACACTGTCACTGACTCTTAATGTGCATAAAACTAATTAACATTAACCAGATCATTTAGTTAAGGAGAAGTAAGAAATATTGCTCAGCATATGAAATATGTAGGTATGATTAGGCTCACACGGAATCTGCACGTGCAGAATTCCGCAGATTTTCCACAGAATTCTGCAGATTTTTAGCCCATGATTAATTCTGTTTATTTACAGTTTTTCTTCAGTAATTTATTACTTTTTATTTCATATATTAAGGTTTTAGTTATAATACTCCGCTGGATACTCCCAAAATAATTCAGCAGAAATCCGCAGATTTTTACCAAAATTCTTCGCAGAAATAGCAAAAAACGTCCGCAGATTCCATCTGGCCCTGGGTATGATCAATGCTTCTAACATACATTTTAAGTAGCATATAGAAATGTTTCTGGAGTTACATAGACTAGACTTAGATTAGATTCTTCCACATGTACCCTCTCATATTACAGACTCCATAAACCAACTGTGACTTTTGAATTGAAATGTAACCTTTTTTTAGATTAGGTTAATGCATAAATTTATTAATGATCTTAAAATAATAATGGCAAACTAATCAACTTTATCTTTATTCTGCCCCTTATTCTGCTGCTATGTATGACAGTTAGAAGCTCTTCCTCCTGATTGGCTGCAGGAACAATATAACTGCAGCCCACAATCACAATAAACTCCCACTGCACCTATAAACTCCATGAACTTCAGCAGACCACAGTCACTCCACAACATGAAACAAGTGATTAAAAGCAGACACAAACTGACGATTGAAATAGTGGATGAACTCACTGTTATAGAAAGAGCCAGACAGAAAAAAGTGAAGCGCTTGATGTGGGATTTTGTCACGACTGTACCACTGTTGATCAACTTGTTGCTCGGGTTATTCTGGAAAAATGAAGAGAGCACAGATAGATGTGAAAAAAGCGTTTTTTTACTTTAGGAAAATGTACAATGTAGCGTTTTGAGCATTTACAATGTACACTATTTATCAAAAGATCATTTTAAAGAAACTAATAATATTCCGGAACAATGCATTAAACAATGCATAGTCCAGCCAAATATAAAATGTTACTCATTATTATTTTGAAACACTTGACTTCCATAGTATGAAAAAGAAATATCATGGAAGTCAATGGTTACAGGTTTCCAACATTCTTCAAAATATCCTCCTTTATGTTTAACTGAAGAAAACAAAATTAAACCGGTTTGAAACAATTGAAAAGGGAGTAAAGGACAGAATGACAAAAGTTCTTCAGCTCAGCTATCAAAATTGATAAATATAAGAAATGTTGGTAACACTTTATTATAATTGTCTGCCTATTATTTAGGTATTGGCTGCTTATAAGTTCTTGAATAGTACTTAAGTACATAAACTGCATGATCTTATTCTACAGTATATCCATAATCCTAACTAAAACCTAAACCCATCATAATAACTATCAATAAGCAGCAACTTGGGGGAAAAAACACAGTTAATGGTTTATTATATAGAGAGTGTACCTTAAAATAAATAAGTGTGCCTTAAAATAAATAAGTGTACCTTAAAATAAAGTGTGAACAAATTGTTTCTTAGGAACTAAATCAGAATGTTAAGGATAATTATGTTGTAAATAACTCTCAGTTTCTTGTACAGGATGAACATTTCACTTTATAAAACATCAGTGTATAAATATTATAAATTATTATAAATTAATATAAATTAATGTATTTATTTTATTTTGCCTGTATGTCTTTTGTTTCGACTCCTAAAGTGCAACTAGCACTTGATTTCACAGTTTCAGCTTAAAATATTCTTTATTGTTCTACCAAAGAAACAGTCATCTACATCAAGGGTTCCTAAACTTTTCAGCACGGGACCCCCCAAAAACAATGACCCCCGATATAGTCTGAAGTGGTTATAAATATACAAAATTGCATGCAGCAGTGTACACACACCAATAGGTCCAAGTCTATTCTATGATCTGGACCTTACTCTGAGACCTTCCTCCATGTTCGCGGACTTTATTTTTAATGTATGTGAGTGCCGTAAAGGTGTCAGAAAGTTTAACCTGGTGCCAAAAAAATCAGTCTGCTGCATCTGACACTATTGCTATGTATTTAATATAGCATAATCACTTTAATGGCTGCAATCAAATAAAAAAAAATTGAAAGGCTAATGGCTTTTTATTTGCATGTTGTTTTTTAAATGTAAGTATTAAATACTATTTTTTTCTTTTGCAAAACCCTAAAACTATAAAACTATTTGCAAAACCCTAAAACTATTTTAGTTGTTATTGTTTTGTGACACCCGGGTTGTTTTACATTTTGGATAAATTATCCCTTTGAGGGGGACCTAATATGCCAGTTTTTAAAAGATGTAAAATAAGTATCTGGTGTCTCTAGAGCAGAGATGCCCAAAGTAGGGCCCGCCAAAAATGCCCAAAACTGGTCCACTGTAACCTTTGATTTCGCCCACCATCCCATCTGAGAGGAGAGTGAGTATGATGGAGAGGGTTGGGGAGAATGCCTTTAACACAGAGATTGTACTTTCCAATTTGACATAGCCTTTTTTGTTTTATTGTTGAGCTACAAAAAAGCAAACTTAAATTAAAAGTTTCAATTAAATGTTGTAAATGAATCTGAATTTATAAAATGTAAATACTGTCACTAAAAAGATAAGACTATGCAAAAGACATCGCCGAGGCAAAAACTAGTGTAATGCTGTTATAAATTAGATTGTTTTGTTTTTACTGTAATAAGTTCATTATAAAATGTAAAAAAGTTAAATACTGTATAAGTTAATATAAAGCAATGTTTTCTAGTCATTTTTAAATATGATTAAATAAATTAGGAAATAACCCATTACAACTATATTTACCTTCGGCCCACCAGCCTCAATCAAGTCTTAAGTTTGGTTTTTGGCCCTTCATAAGAATATGTTTGGGCACTACTGCTCTAGAGTGTGTATGTGAAGTTTCAGCTCAAAATACTCAGCAGATAAGTTTTTGTACTTCTTTGAAACTGCCCCTTTTCAGCTTAAACCCAAATTGTGCTGATTTGATGCTGATTCGCTTTAAATCTAAATTAGATTGGGCTCCCAATCTTTTTTATTTGAAAAGAGGGTGGAGCTACAAACGTCTATGTGTCAGTATAGTGGCAGATTCAAAAAGGGACTAACGTTATCTTTGTGAAAAACTGAAAATGTGAAAACAACTGGCACAGAAGAAGGTCATCTATGGAAACTACAGCATTCATTTGGGCATCCTTAAACTTCTCATTTATAATGCCTCTTAACCGCTGACATTATCTTCAGCAGGTACATTGTAAAAACTGTAATGACAGATGGCTGCTTCTCACTTAGGGCTGTCTATGTGTCAGGACTCCAGGCTGATCAGCTGGGTCTGTTTTGTTTGTTTGTATTAGCCACATGGTTCTTTGTTTGTTTTCCTGATTGTTTCCTTCCACCCCCTTGTTCTCTTGAATTTAGTTGATTTGTTTCACCTGTCTTTGTTCATTAGCTCCCCTTCTTATTCCCCTTGTTTGTGCTGTTCTGTGCCAGGTTGTTGTTTGCTTCTAACCCTGCAACTTCAAATTTAGTTTTTTTATTAAACTTTTTCTGTTTGACTCCAGGACTCTCTCCTTACCTTCCCGACCTGTCTGTGTAGTCCCTGGCTTGGCCTGCCAAGCCTTTGCTCTATTGGTGCCTAAACTTATGATGTACTTGACACTGGTCAGGTTCTGACCATTGCTTGATTCCTCTCCAACCAGCTTCTGTCTCTATTGGCCAGCCTATTTTCCCCAACTATTCCAGCGACAAGTCTGCAGGTATTTTCTTTGGTCATTTTTTTTTCATTCTTTTGCCATAGTTTTGTTTTTTGTTAGACTGAGAAGACTGCATGCTGAAGAGTATTTTTGTTTCATATTTTTGACTGAGTTTTTGTATTTTTTTCCCCCCCTGAGACTGAGACATTGCCATTACAGGAATTGTGCTTTTGTTTTTGCCCTTTTTACTAATAGGCTGAACTGTCTGATTGCTGCCTTATATAATACATTATTTGTTTTCACCTGCTTTTGTTTTTTTTCTGTTTACCGGCCCTGACACTATGCTAATGAGGAAGAGATCGACTTTTCCCTTCTGAAGACACATACAAAGGAAAACGTCAATCAAAGTGTTTATGCAGACTGTTTTATCAAGTGTGATTACTTTTTTTAAAATTAATTTTCACCATTAGAGGCTGGCTATATTCACACACTGTATTTAAATCCCTTATAAAAGTGACTTTGGCATAATAGTTCCCTTCAAAAGATCAAACAGACCACAACAAAGGTGTAGATTTCTACATTAAAGGATAAAATCCATCTTCATTCATGAAAGTATTAACTATGATTAGCAAATATCCCTTCATTTCCCAATTCCTGAATCCTGAATCCAGCTAAAGTCTTTTTCTAAGGTCAGACATGAAGAACTAACCCCACACCACTGCACGCCTTTTTAAATTACAGCTGTTTCCCAGTCTGTTTACCCCAAAAAATAAATGCTTAGTTATGAAGTGTAACGAGATAATAGACATGATGCAGCATTAAAGGTTGAAACTATAAACTAATTTAGTCATCCCTTAAGGCTGTGAGTGGGATAAATAAATAAGGAAAAAAAGCCGAGAGACCTGGGAGGATCTGATAAAAGGTGTCATTTTACCTTAAGTATATATGCAGAGGATGATCAGCATTAAGAATTCAGAGAAGTGTATGATTAAGGAAAATAAATGTTAGTTTAAGGTAAAAACAAACTCCTACTGTACCTTGTCAAAAGCAGGGTAAACAGCTCGAAGTTCAGTGAGCCAGCCGTAGGGCATGTGGCCCACTGGATATGTAGCCGTGAGAACTGCGACAGCCTGGAAAACAGTAGAAACATGACAGTAACATTAAACACAGACAATTTCAACTGTTTACATTGAAGAGGAACAAAGCTATCTTTTTCAATAGGGTTATTGGATAAACCAGTCAGTCTATAAATGAAGCAATCAACAGCTAGGAAATGAGTTTTACTATTTCAAGTTTATATGGATCAAAGACAAAGAGGGGTATTCAAGCAGGAAAATGATTTGTATAAAAGTACATGTAAGATTTATTTATTAAAATATCCAAAACCTCTAGAACATTGCCATGCTGTATATTTTGCTGACTTATGTATTTTCATTATACCAAATGTTTCAAATAATGTTTGAATACAGAGAAATAAGCTATTTTAATTAGTGATACCAACTGTGTCAAATGTGGACATGCTAATAATGTCATACACACTCAATGTCTGGTTTGGTCTTTATAAAAAACAAGGAAACACCAAATATACTCTAATTTGTTGTGTGATTTATTAGACTGTACAGAGCAGCATTATAACACATCAAATGTATTTATTTACTATGATAAAGCAGCACAGCTTTTTCACCCACATGATCATGAGTAGAAGAACTAAACGTGGTTGACTGTGACATAATAAAAACTCTACTGCTTTTGATTAAACTTACATACCAGGCCTTCAAGCTACGTTAGACTGCATCCCTTTTAATTCTGTGTTTTTTTTTTTTTAGCAAAAATAAATTCCTACATTTTTATTTCACAAAAGCCTACAGAAGACACTCAATAAAGAGACATTTTGAGTAACAAACTAACTGAGGTTAAAACTAAAACATCTTATCAGGCAAATTTAAAAAAAGAATCACTTGAAGACATGATAAGGACCATAGGCAAGGCTAATGCTTATTATTTCAAATCATTTCCTTTCCTTCAAAGCACTGGTTTTTACTTATTCGTCAGCAAGTGGTCTTTACTTACAATTATAGCATATTTTGGGCATTTTAATACGTCTAAGTAAGCATGTTGTTTCATATTTATGTAATTAAAACGTTCTTTTAACATCTGATTTTTACAATAGTTACATTAAACATTTTTTTGTATTTAAAAAAACCTCTGCAAATTTAACATGATGTAAACACCAAAATAAGACATCATTTTTAAGTCACATGCAGCAGTGCTTTTCAACCACATTCCTGGAAGACCACCAGCTCTGCACATTTTCCATGTGTCCTTAACCAGATCAGATCATCAGCTCATTAGCAGAGACTGAAAGACCTGTAATGGGTGTGACAGACAAAGGAGACATCCAAAACATGCAGTGTTGGTGGTCCTCTAGGAATGCGGTTGAGAAACACAGATATACAGCTTCATTTTATTTTACTTTTAATAAATTTACACTGATTTACTGTCCACATCTAAGGGATCTGTCCAGTCTGTGGATTATATAATATAATGTAATATAATATAATATAATATAATATAATATAATATAATATAATATAATATAATATAATATAATATAATATAATATAATATAATATAATATAATTCTCCTCGCTATATAGTAAAATTAAAATGAGTTACATTTTGGTACACAAGCAAAAGTGGTGATACAGTAAAGAATAAAATACAAAGCTGTCAGTATTGTGTAGAGCAGGGGTCAGCAATCTCGGCCCTGGAGGGCCGGTGTCCCTGCAGGGTTTAGCTACAACTCGCCTCAACACACCTGCCTGGATGTGTCAAGTATACCTAGTAAGACCTTTATTAGCTTGTTCAGGTGTGTTTCATTAGGGTTGGAGCTAAAACCTGCAGGATACCGGCCCTCCAGGAACAAGTTTGGTGACCACTGGTGTAGAGATTCATACTGCCTCACAGCATTGTTTTACAGTATAATTATTGCATGTCTCGTCATGTGTTTGTTGTAGTTTTTTGTGTTGTCTAGTTCCCTCATTACCTGTGCCACGCCCCGTCTTTTGTCACCACGGTTGTTCATTGTTCCTTGTAATCGTGTATATAAGCCTCTTTGTTTCAGATTGGTCGTTGTTGTGTATGTAAAATGTTAAGTACTGTTAGCCAGTTGTTGTTATCCCTTGAATTCCTTAACCTACCTTGCCCAAGTTCCTGATTTGTTTAATAAATGTTTACTACACTGCTTGTAAATCCACCTTTTGCCTTTTCCTGGACTCCCCATAACAATAAAATTCATATTCATATAAATTATTTCATAAATTACTGTAAATACTTTTAATATTTTTTTTGTTTATACTGTAATATTCATGTACCATTCAAATTAAACACTATATTGAATTTCCATTTTTGTGGTCGACCTAAATTACCTGTGAAAAGTGTTTCCAAATGAACTTGAATTAAATTTATTAAACAAAAAATCCAACACTGAAATACTGTAAAGGTCTGTGTGTATGTGTGAGTGTATGTGTATGTGTTTGCCAGAGAGCACACTAACCTCTGTAGCAGCTGTACTTCCTTTGAGGTCCCTAGACACAAACAGGTTTACGATAGGTCTGCTAATCCGCTGTGTAGCCAGAATGAGAGCCAGTGGCCACCAGAAGCTTAGCATCTTTTTAATAGTGGCATCACCCTAAAACACAGAAGCAAACAGTATCGGAGGGCTGAAGGGGGACGGGCAAGAAGAGTACAGAAAACACTGAACAACAACATCAAGCAGTTTAATAGAGACTGAATCGCACAGTATAGTGCCAGCTGGAGTGTAAAGAGAGGAAGACGAGTTTGTTTAGATATAAGTTTTACAAGCTGTAAATGATTTTTTCTATATGCTGTACTGCTGTGTTTTCTAAGCGTGTGATGTGGCTCTGATTGCGAGGGCTTGTCAGTTGAAATGTGGTTGCCTGACCGATAACAATTTTAATCAACAGAGAGTTTTCTATATACACCACGTGACAAAAGTCTTGTCATTGATCCCAGTTGTAAGAGCAACAAATAATAACTTGACTTCTAGTTGATTATTTGGAAAAGTGTCAAAAGGTAGATTTTTTTTAATGATTCATTTGTTGAACTGCATCCCAATCATCACAAATACTGCAGAAAACCTACTAGAACCCGCATAGACCCATGATTCTCACAGAAATCAGTCAAGTTTGTTGAAGGAAAAGTCATGATTTGGGGTTACATTCAATATGGGTGCGAGAGATCTGCAGAGTGAATGGCAACATTAACAGCCTGAGGTATCAAGACATTTTTGCTGCCTATTACATTACAAAGCACAGGAGAGGGCAAATTGTTCAGCAGGATAGTGCTCCTTCTCATACTTAAGCCTCCACATCAGTTCCTAAAAGCAAAATAAGGTCAAGGTGCTCCAGGATTGGCCAGCCCAGTCACCAGACATCAACATTATTGAGCATGTCTGGGATAAGATGGAGGAGGTACTGAAAGTGAATCCTGAGAATCTTGATGAACTCTGGAAGTCCTGTGAGACAGCGTTCTTTGCCATTTCAGATGACTTTATCAATAAGTGATTTGAGTCATTGCAGAGATGTATGTATTAATTCCGTATTTCCACTGCTCCATGCCTTTATATTCTATACTGTACAGTATTTCCTTTAAGTGACGAGACTATTGTCAGATCGTACTGTCCTAATTATCTAAATTAAAAATAAAGGCATGATCATATTTTAATTTGGTAAAATAAATGTAATCTAGAGGCCTTTCATACAGTATAAGACACTTCTAATACAAAATGATCAACTAAAGTCAAGTAATTATTTGTTGTTCTGAAAACCTGGATAGACGACAAGACTTTTGTAAGGTAGTGCTGTCTATCTGTGGACATATCCGTGCAGTGCAGTAAAGCTGCAACAAGAAAGAGTGTGTTTAGGACAGGTGCTTTTGTAACCCCCATAAAATAATGAATGGGAGTAGATAAAACAGATAAGATAGATAAAATAGATAAGACAAATAAAATTAGATAAAACAGATAAAATAATAAATAAATATACACCTCATCATCATTATTAAAGTGTTAAAGTGTTGATGCTAAAATAAGTATTAAAATAAAATGTATAAAAAATGTTAAAACATGTATATGTGAGTTATAATTCTCTGATTGGGTGTCAGGCTGTCAGCAGTCTTAAGTCAGCAAATGAGAGCGCTGGATGCTCATCTCCGCCCCCTTGTGGTTGCGGATATTACTAAAGCATCGGAAGAGACACACAGCGTGACAGAAAGGAAAACCGAGTGATTATAAAGTAAATATAGCAAAAATACATAAGTTAAAACTTTTAAAACCAATATAATGTTAAAAATATAAGTCTATAGCACGAGGATGGCGAGGGATTGAGTAGATATATGCTGATTTGAGCGCGATGGATGCATTTTGACTCGGTGAGTTCATCATTAGCTTATTGCTAAAATAATAGAAACATATTGAGTGACAACATGTTGAATGTGATAATATTTTATTAGTTTCATGTTTAAGAAGTGATAGAAAGTTGTATTTTTCTGTTTAATGGAAGAATTATCCATTATCACAAGGTTATAAAACCGCATGGTGTTTTATTATTTACTACAGCTCACAGACATCACTGTGGTCACGTGTACCTGATAGGAATTAAAAAAAGAATACATTAGAAGAACAGGTAACTGAAATTAATGTTATTTGTTATGACAGTAGTTTTTGTATATGTTTTGTGGATGTTTTTATGCTATTTTGTTCTTTATGTATATATTTTTTATCATATTGTAATACTGAATATTTGCTCTGGTCTGTGAAAACAGGCCAGGTTTTTTTTTGTTGCTGGATTTTGGAATTCTTGCGATTCTCGGTTGATGGCGAGCCTCCCAAGTGCAGTTTCAGTGGACCTACAGGAAAGGACTGACTTCTAGGGAAAAAGGACACTTGCTTTTTCACTATTTCCCTTCACTCAAGTAAGAGGATTTGATCCTTAAGACTGTTTGTCTTTTTTTTTCCAAGAGGAGGACATTTTGTGAGTACCCAAAAGACAGTTGGAAGTAAATAATTCATTTATTTTATTTTGATCTTCCTGGATTTGAAACTTGATATATTTGGAAAGATTTTATTTGGTTACATGTAACAAAACAATTTGGAAATTGCTGATTTATTTGAACTCTCATCTATTTGTTAAATTGTGAATTTAACAAAATTTACAGCGTCATATAAAGGGTGCACCCGGGGTATATTTTTAATTAGTGTTTATTTTATTGTTATTTCTTTTGTGTGTGTATTTAATACAGAACAACGTTGTGCAACATACCTGTTTGTCTCTGTGAGTTACTCAGCATCACCACTACCTCCTTTCCCGTTCTTAGTAATCTTCTGATTTTAATTGTTTGGTCCTTTAAGGTTTAATACCCGTTACAAAGTGGCGAGCCAGCCAGGAGGTGGCGCTGTTGCTGAGTATTAATTACATTCTAAGCCATTATTTTTGCCTACGTTGACCAGTAACAATTGACAATGGATATAATAGAGGCAGAAGGGATTAAAATTCCGAACTCAGTGATCATTAGCGGATTAACACAAGACAAAAGTGATGATGAGCTGTTTGATTTCCTAAAACAATATGGTTCTTTTGCCAAAACAGTTTTTATTAGTGACAAGGATTCTGAGTTTTATCAAAGTGTTATACTTGAATATACCAGTGGCCAAGCTTTGCATTCTCTAGAGCCACAGCTACCTTATACTCACCAGCTGTCCAGTGACCCAAGTGTTACTTACCATGTGAGAGCATTATCTAGTGTGTTTACACAGTATAAGGGAACCAGTGTCACAAAGTCATACCTGGAGGGACTGAAAGAAGTAGCGAAATTGAGTGGGACTGATTTTGAGATTGTCTTGAGCCAGATGCTGTCACAAATGACTGCTGAGCTTACTCCAACGTCCGCTGACACAGAGGCTGATGACGAGGATCTGGATGAACCGCAAGCTCAGGTATGTCCTGAAGAGAGTTTTACCCCAGCCCCTGTCAAAATTAGTCAACCAGATGACTCACTGTCACAGCATACCTCTGCTAAACCAAATAAGCCCCCCCTCTTAACCTCTTCAGAGGTGTTAAATCCACCTGAGGTTCAAAAACTCGTAATTGAACATGTGGTGAGAACTGGTGAAGTGGCTACTCAAGGACTTATGCAGCAAAGGCTTAGGGTATTTTCAGGAAAATGTCCCAGACCCGGAAGTGAGGTCGATTACGACACTTGGCGCTCCAGTGTAGAGCTAATGCTGAAAGATTCCACCTTATCTGATTTGAACGTATCCAGGAAAATAGTAGACAGTCTTTTACCACCCGCAGCAGATGTTATAAAACATCTTAGCTCTGAAGCTCCATCATCAGCTTACCTTCAGTTGCTGGATTCTGCTTTTGGAGTTGTTGAGGATGGAGATGAACTCCTTGCAAAGTTCATGAATACTCTGCAGGACGCTGGTGAAAAGCCATCTACTTACTTGTACAGATTGCAGACAGCTTTAAGAGTGACAATAAAAAGAGGTGGTGTCTCACCTGAAGAAGCAGATCGGCATCTTCTCAAGCAGTTCTGTAGAGGCTGCTGGGATAATGATCTAATTACTGACCTGCAGCTAGAGCGAAGGCGTAATAATCCTCCTTCATTTGGGCAGCTTCTACTTATGTTACGCACTGAAGAAGACAAACACACTGCAAAAGTCACTCGTATGAAGCAGCATCTTGGGTCTTCTAAACCAAGAGCAGTAATGCACTCGCAAAGGACGTGGGTTTCTTCTGAGGTGGAGCAAGGAGAAGTTTCAAACATGGTATCACTTGCAGCTGAAACTAAGGAGATCAAGAGACAGATAGCAAAACTACAAAGTCAGTTGGCTAGCCTTGTTCCTGCGCATAAAACCCAGAAGAAAGCTTCACAGCAAGCAGTAGTAAATAAACAGGACAAAAAGAAGTCAGATACTGCTAACCAGTTAACTAGGGCTCCAGTTAGCCAAAGACAAAAGGACAGGCCTAGACCATGGTACTGCTTTACCTGTGGTGAGGATTGTCATATTGCATCCTCTTGCACTTCTGAGCCAAACCCCACACTTGTTAATGCCAAGCGTAAACTTTTGAGAGAAAAACAGCTACTATGGGACTCTCAGAACGCCAACTCCAACCCTGATTTAAACTAGAATCAGTCCTTGTTGTGGGACAGACAGGGGCTGAGTTGGAATCACAATGTCCCAATACTAATCATGTTTTTGAAAAAAGTCAGGTTTCTAAAGTGCAAAGCACTAGCTTGCCAAAGGGGTTAATAGGTGCTATGAGCATTGCTGAAGTTACTATAGCCAATGAAAAATGCAGCTGTTTATTGGATACAGGCTCTCAAGTGACAACAGTTCCAAAGTCCTTCTATGAACAGCATCTCTCAGGATACCCAATTAAGTCCATTGATGATATCCTGGAAGTAGAAGGCGCAAATGGTCTATCTGTTCCATACGAAGGCTACATAGAAATGGGAATTACCTTTCCAGAAGAATTACTAGGAGTGAGCGTTGAAATACCTACAGTAGCCTTAGTAGTTCCTGATGTAAAAGCTCACAATCAGTCAATGGTTCTTATTGGGACAAACACCTTGGATGTTCTCTATAAGAAGTATTTAAGTGCTGAT